AAGAGAAGAATCTCTTAGCAGTGCGCACGAAGCGCACTGAAAGACAAAACAACGAGTCAGCAGAGACCTTCCTGCTGACTCGAGAGGCGGTAGTCCATTTCGTTCAGGACTCCATCGCAAATGCGGTGGACCGCCAGAGGAACGCAGACAAGAATGGAAGAGCAAATGTTCTTTCATTTACAGTTAATAACCTAGTGCTACTGTCTACGGTAAACTTACCTGGACATGTAGTCACTAGTGTCGGCAGCAGTAAACTACTACCAAAATAAATTGCTCCCTTTCGTGCATTGCACCGCGAAGGTAATGCATACACTATTGAGTTGCCTCGCAGGATGCGCACGCATCCTACGTTCTATGTTGGTCGTCTCCGCCCGTGATATCAGTACGAGGCCTATTGCGAGAACGAAGACAGCCGGCACGCTCAAGAATCCCTAACAGATTATTGTGATCACGGACCAAACACTCGAGTTGGTCCTTCATCGACGCGGTCTCGCGACGAGCCGCCTCTAACTCGTCGCGCAAACGATACTTCTCGCGTTCGCTCTCGTTTTCAAGCTGAGCGAACGCTAAATCCGATCGGTCCTTCTCCCGATCGGTGCGGAGACGTCGTACGGTCGCCAGCAAGTCGTGCCGACGATCGTATTCGTGACCGAAGTCCTCCCTCAACTCGGTCAGGTAACGTTTATGGCTACCCAAAGTCTCCTGCAGGCCCGGCGGTTGAGCCGGACCTTGTCTTTCCACTGCCACCGGAACCACTGGTGGATTCTCACGGTGGTCGACACTTTCACGTGGGGCGTATCTTGAGCCACCGCGTGAAGAGCGCAGAGCTAAAAGTTACCTTGTCCGCTGGCGTGGGTATCCATCATCGTATGACAGCTGGGAACCTCGATCCCAGCTGATGGCCGACGTTGAAGGTCTCGTCCACCAGTACGACGAGACTCATCCAATTGGTCCTCGGTCCCATCGGTAAACACGCGCTTTTATAGGTTGTACACGGATTGCCATCTTGCAATCTCGTCCCGCATCTTAGCCGAGATTTGTGCCCTTCCCCAGGGCGAACTTAGGGAATAAACATCCCTATGTGCACGTTGCAAGTTGTCAACACAACTCGCACAAGGATCTCCCCAAGTGAGGCAAGGAATGTCTGCCTCACTCGACAAACGATGCAGCCGGTACCTTGCACCAGTTGGTGTTCGTTTCTCAAACTTGATGCGTACAGCTTCAATGTTTTGGAGCCATCCTTCTAGTCCAAAATTCTTGATATTTTGGACGAACGCGTTCCACGCCGCCAAAAGCGAAGCCTTGTCAAGCTTTTAGTTACCATTGTACCATCTATGCTTAAGAAAAGCATCGAGATAGAAGTCTTCTTCAGCGCGAACGTTCTTCACGCTGGAACTCAAGCCGTGAAGCTCACTCGCATCGAATAATGGAATTCGATGTATTGACTTGTCTCGTTAGACAATCCATTGATAAGCTGTTCAGGAAAACGCCACGGCTTCAGCTCATCACGCTTCGACGTGGTATCCTTGCCGGTACCACAGTTTTCAGTATGACGACGACTCTCGCCATCTTCAACGCGCTCGTCCGAAGGCGCACGAGTTGATCGCGGTGATGAGTTATCATGATCATCACCATATTCTTCATCACTGCCGAACAGACTGTGACGCATTTCGTGAGTCCGTTTGTTCGGCAGGTCTCTTGATGATCGGGGCACTACAGGTGAACGCGATGCCTCTAAAGGATTCCCCAAGTCAGACACATCTGACTCGCCAGAGTAGCTGACCTCTAACTCGGGGTCACTGTGTGCATGAGGTGCGATACCACATGCGCCTGCAGCAACACCTGCTGAAGGATGAGAACGAGCAGCAGACGACGAGTCGCATGCCGCAGAGGCGGGCGCAGCAACAGGCTGTGTCGTCTTTGGGTCACCCCGCATAGACATGTTAACTATGCGAGGCAAAGTCAGAACGAATGAATCTGACCAACAAGTACTCCCCGTCCCGTTGGCATCCAACGGGTGGCCACAAAGGTTTCGATAGTCACACGGTGACTATCAGTTAGGGGGATGTAACGGGGTAGACCGTTACATGGAATTGTCACTAAGGACAAAATGATAATAAAGAATATTACGTTGGATGTTCTTTCAACAATATCACAGAGCATGATGATATTGTTGAAGATGACCGAAGGGTCTACTCATTGGTTGATATCGTGATGATTTCAACCCACCAATCGCTGCTAGACGCGCGCAATGGGTGGTGAGTAGACGTCATCATACAAATAGTTACATTAGTATAAATAAGTCAGGACAAACAGAGATACAAGAGTTATAGGACTCAATTATATTGAATAACAGCTTTACTTTTCTCGGAGACTAGCGTGTTCACTAGTCTCCTTTCCTTCCTCTGTGTTGGTGCAGCACATAGCAGGGCACTGACTATCACTGTTGTCAGTGGAAGTGAGCTCCGTACTGGTCAACCAGTACGTTGTCACCAGTGCCCCATTACATACCGGGGATTCCGCCCAACGCCTGGGTTGTTGTCAAGCAATCTCTTAACACAGGGGCAGATTTATTGAGAGCTGAGGCTGTGGTCTTCCCGGCAGCTCGAGAACTGTGGCGTTTTGTCGTATCGACGACACTTTATGCTATCTGGGTCGAGCGCCTCCGCCGCATGGAAGACCCGTCTCTATCACAGGATTTTCACACAGGTACGGCCAAGAATGTCTTTTGCCGGTCGGTTTGAAGGTTTCGTGGGTCAACCTACCTGCCCGACATGAGGGAGGACGGGTAACTGATTGCGCAGGTACGGTCGGCCTTGGCTAATACCCTCCTCTGCTACGACGAACCTCCGTTGTTGCACGTACGACCTATCGAACGATGCCTGTAACGGGGCACACCCTTGCGTGAACTTAACGCAAGGGTATCGGTGCCCCGACAGACGTACACAAGGCAAGCGAGGAAGCGTAGGTAGGGTAAAAGCAGAACTGTTATATTAATATAATTAAGTCTTTTAACTACTGTCTCTTTGTTTGACTTAACTTAATTATGCTAATGTAACTGAGTGTATGGTGACGTCTCGTCACCACTCATTACGCGCGTCTTGCGGCGATTGGTGGGTTGATATCATCAAGATATCAACCAATGAACAGACTCTTTGGTCGACCCTTCAATATCACCGCTTCGGTGATATTGTTCAAAGAATATTCAACTTCATATTCTTTATTGTCACTTTTCTTAAAGTGACAATTCCATGTAACGGGCTGCCCCGTTACAGTGCCCAGGTATTCTATACTTCCTTTTTTCGATGGAGGATCCCGCGGAAGTCCAGGCCCAGGTGGAGCTGGATCGGTTATTGTCCGACTCCACGTCCCGACGCACGCCGCATGCGTTTTGTGGGTAGCGATCGTGGCCCATGCCTCTGCCGATACTACTAACAAAATCGCTGAATACTGGGGCTCGTCCACGGTCTTCGGCGAGCAAAGGCCAGCGACTACTTACCCTGCGTGTCATTGGGGACATTGCCCTTGTGCTTTCGCAACTCCGAACACGACATCCTCCACGCAAGCAACACTTGGTGCAGTCATTCACCGAAGCAAGCGCCATCGCTAACGATATCCATGTTTCCAGCTGAGGACATCATTTCCGCACCTAGAACAAAATGGCGGATCGACTGGCGAATATCGCTATGGACACAGGAGATTCGGTTCAAGCGCACGCATCTTCTAACCCCGTTCTAGTTCAGGAGGCCACGACCTTCCTTGATTCTGATGTCAATCATTGGTTGGAGACCTCTCGAGCCGACCAATACGTCATACAGGGCCCCGTACTGACACCGAGGAACCTGATAATCTCGCGACAGGAGTCTACGCGCAGGCGTTCTGATGTCAGAGACCTAGTGCTACCTAGTATATAAAGTAGCAGTCACTCCGGTAACCTTGTTGCCGGATGACGGGATATAGCAGGTCGTAAGCGTACCTAAATATACCTCACTTTCTCACTCATTCAACATCAGCGTCCGTGTCCTAAAAGAACCCCGCATCGTTTTCCTCTAATGCATCATCATGTATCCGAGTAGGTATTTCAACCTCTACGTCGTCGCTGTGGTTATCGAAAAGACTAAACAAACGGCAAAATGCCTTCGGAACTTGCGGACGGTATCTGCAACGACCACTCTTCACGATACTGGGATTGATGCGAACGTATCAAGCCGGAGCACTTGATAAACATGCTTGACTGTTTGCACGAGTGGAGCAGGATGAATTCGGGTACGCTTTGGAAGAGGCTCCAATCTCTCTTGGATATGACGAACGCCATCTCAAAAGTGTTGCAGATAAGCTTAGCGATACAGGACTCAGCGCAGGATGTACAAAAGTTGGCCGTCGTCTTCTACAGCTACGGTAAGTGGCTGCAGGAATGCGCCCCACTTCGTAGCGCTAGCGTCTCACTGGCAGACGAGGAGCGACAGAAATTGTGCGTGAGCTTCGGCTCAGCCCTTGCTACAGAATTGCGTCCAAGCAAACTCCTGAGATTGCACCATGATGACCCCACTACGTTAGTCACCACGTTGGGTAGCAGCAATCGCTTCGCATGCTATACGCGCAACGAACGTGGGTGCTGTCGATGGCGCCTTCTGACACTGATACCATGTGTGTGGAAAAGCAGACGACCGCCAGCATTGACAAAGATAGTTGAAAAGGGCTAGAGTCGACAGCGTATGTCGCTTCGTATTGCAGTCGATGTGATCAAGTGACGTTTGCTGGATGACAACCACACAGAGGAATCTGAAAAGAAGCAGATCTGAGGTCCGTTCTGATGTCCAATAAGCGATCGGAAAGCAAAGTAACGCAGCGTCAACACTCATCCAGAAGAAAGTGACGAAAGGCTTATTGTTTAGAGGTCTTCAAGCCACCTTGACGCACTCACGTCGATGCATACACCCGCGTCTTCGCTCAATATATCATAGCCACCACACAAGAGCGAACTCAACTTGCTACGGCGCTCACTTGCTACTCATCGTCACTACCACGTCTTCTTCTTTTTTCGTTGGCGAAAGCGGTTTAGCTTCTTCACCGGGCTGCAAACGGTATTGATTCTCCGGGTACAACACATAGTGTTGCAAAAGAAACACCGTATCGATGAGAATGCTCACAAAGCCCAGTGCAAATTTAACAGGATTGCCTGTTATCGCCGTCCAGTCCTCCGTCGCCACCACGTCGAGCACTAGTTGGCCCATGGAGAACAGGCCCCCTGCCACATCTAACAGCACGTTCCAGATAGTCCATCCAACCGTCGACTTGCGCTGGTAGTTGAGTGCAACTTGTGGCAGGCACTTGAACATCGTTGTCATGAGCTTGATATAGCTCAGAAAGTAGAGTAGATTCATGACATTGATCACCGAGTCGTCATTGTTGCCGGTGACGGTGACGGCGACTGCGAGAGCGAAAACCGCGGCGGCTCCAAGTGCCCCTCCGGTCCACACGATCGTCGGTGTGCTGACTTTTTGTCCACCTCGTGGGTAGACGATACACTGAACAAGGGACACGGCAGTCAGCACGACCGCGTGGAGCGAGAAGAAGACGTCGTTGAGCTCAACTGCATTGCGGTGTCCGTCGTGCTGTTGCATGTACTGCAGCTGCACGCTCTTACTGCAGTAAAACGCGAGATTGAAGATGGAGTAACATGCAAAGCCCACCATGTTGAGCACCGTAAAGTCCAGCGAGAGGCCTACGACGGACTGTCTCTGGTAGTTTACAAACACCTGTGGGTAGAAGCTCACGCTCCAGCAGAAAAAGTAGATCCAGCCCAAGATACTGGACACGCGGTTCCAGGGCTCGGGAATGTGCGCATTAGCGTCCAGAGCGAAACCAAAGAGCAGGCCGAGCACTAGAATGGCCGAAGAGACGACAACAGCGACATGGTGTGCGGATAGCTCCGAGCAGCTCATATGGCGAGATGCACAGAAAGAGAGTACAACGTGTTGTGTGGTTGGCATTCTTGTGGTCATGAGTTTTTTTGCTGCGTGTGACAAGTGTGACACCGATTGTACACAAATACGTGGCCGAATCAGATGATCCAAAGTCGTCGCGTCGTGTTTTGAACGCTGTCTGCGGAGGAGGAGAGTGTAGGTACACAATGAGGGACAGGAGGAGTGATTACGTCATGCAGTGACAACCGGTGAGCAAACGGTGAGTCGGTTGATGAAAAGGTATTCGCCGAAGGGGGTCGACCAAGAAGCCATTCGACGATGCGACGACGTGTCGCTCCGACTCGATTTCCCGTAGCAAAGTGGCGTGGATTCTTTGTGGACATTCACGGGACGCAGCCGCATCGCCCACTGTTCTCGAGTTGAAGCACGTCGTCCTGCATTACCGTTGCGTGTCGCACTAGCGGACGACGTCCCTTTGTTGCACGACCTGCCAACGCGGCCATCTTAGCCGATAAATTCAAGTGGCGATAGCAGCAGCAGCAGTAGCTCTGCTTTTGATCCCTCTCGGGCTTCATCTGCACGTAGTTGAGATCTTGTTGTGCAACTGATTGCCGGGCCACATGCAGTGAATGCACAGGTACGAGCGGTTGACAAAACACACCTCCAGCAACTGCCCACAAGCGTTTGGCTTGCGCCATCCGCGATTCCCATCCGACGTTCACAAAGGTTCAACGTTCTACACACTTTACGTGCGGACTCGATACCACTTCCGTGGGCTCTCCTGCCGTCATGGACGAGCACCAGAGAGCCCGTCCCGCCGTTGTGCGCTGATCCCGTGCGCCAAAGGATTGGTGGTATTCGGAGGCCTTCGGCGGCGAGAGGCCGAGCAGACGATGTGATGGTGAATTGACTACCGTGTCACATGAGTCAGAGATGCCGGCCGTCGTCTCCTCACTGGTCCACGTCAACCCTCTTTGCCCACTTGCTCGTGCGTCACCGAACGCCACCGAAGAACGGGTGGGCCTCCCAGCTTGACTCCCGCCTCAATGTGCTCGTTTTTCCGACGAAAATAAACAAAACGCTCTTCGCCCATCGCTGTGTTCGACTCCTTCTCGCACGTTCGTCATCGGTGAACAAGTCGTCGGCGACGGCGGCGGCGGCTCCATAGTACGCAACCCCCGACCTCAGTTCTCCTTTTGCGTGCTCGACGCGACGTGCAGACTGTCATTCGTTCGTGCAGCTGTACACCACAGCCGATACAATCCGCTTCTGCGTCAATGGCTTTTCCCACTGACAAAGCGTGCCGACACCTCCTCGCCTCGCAGCGAAAGTCGAGCAAGCAGCGCCGAGCAGAGCAGCGGCAGCGCGTCAAGTGTTTCGTCCCTCGCTCCTACTTCCTCGTGATTCCTGGCACAAGTTCCCATCACCAGCAGGCGCAGAGCAAGAAGTATTTTGGTCAACCAGTCCAGCTGCCCGAGTGCGACGAAGACGACATACTGGGGCCGGATGAGGTCGTCATTAGCGACACGGACCTCCGTGCCATGCGCGACTCGGTGGACAATATGCAGCAGCAACTGAGTCGCGGTCTGCGAGACATTGAAGAGATTCGTGCGCTGGTGAGGGAAGCGGCAGTCCGAGACAGCCTCGAGACGGACGCACGACGAGCAAACTCGGACGCAAGCAGCAGCAGCAGCAGTCGTAGCAGCCTATGACCACAGACTTTCTCGAGTATCGTCGGATACTTTTTTCTAGCACCTGCCGTCGTCTACGCTCATTATTAACTTTCTTGTGGAATGAACACACACTTATGCGTAACCCAAACTTCTGTATCGCGCGAGTTACGATGTTGCGCTCTTTTGTAGTCGACATGCGCAGTGAAAGAAGCGAATGGCATTAGTGCACGGGTGTGTGCGTGTCAAAGGTCCGATGAAATAGTTTGTCACTCTGGCAGAGCGGAAACGCTTCGCCTGATGCTCGACTATCCAAACGCGTACGAGCTCTCGGAGAGAACTACAGAAGGGAAAGAGGGGCGGCCTGAGCACATTTCTTGCAAGCTGCGCGAGACAGTCCGTATCGTATTGGTGTGTGTGTGTCGTCTGTCTTGTGTTACAGGCGCTGCGTTTTCTACACGAACCATTGTCGAGTCGTTTTCGAGACAGTTCATCCGTGATCCTGCGCCCAGGGCGTTTCTGTCTGGATAGGCGAGCTGAAGTCAAACAGGCTGAACGTTCGTGCAGCATCTTGACGAGAATGCGATGGCCGAATTCTTCGAGACCGTTGCATCATCAAGTTACGATGCATTGCCTCGACAACAACGGAGTAACTGGCTTTGCCAACATCCGAAGAAGTCATCGGACGTCTACCTGCGAAAAACTGAAAAGCTGAAGATCAGAACTTACATATCGTCGGACACGTAAGCAAACCCGATGTACAGGTAAGACATAACATCCACTGCAAACAGTGTCGTTTGCTGCTCTAGGACTCGTATTCGGACCGAATCGAGCAAGACCACCACAAGATGTTCAGTATGAGCAGTACTTACAAGTGGCAGCGTTTGTGTAGTAGTTTCTGACCGCGTTCTTCGTCAAGGACAATGTCACCTCTTCTTCCTCCCTTTCGTTGACCTACAAAACGCGTTTGACATTGGGTTCAGCCGTTGATGCGAAGTAAGTCTATCCGTCTAAAGCAAACGGCTCAGCAGAGTACATCGCAGCCCACACGATTGAGGTCGTATTCTTTCCTCTGATACTGAACGACCGCGCATCGCGCTCCAGTCTGATTCAGCTTGTGAGAGCATTATGCAGCGCGTATGGATCGTTTTCACAAAGGTTGCGCTGCGGTGTCACTCCTTCTTGTGGGGTATGGACGCAAATCGTGAGCTGAGTCTGTGTTGGCGTTGACCCTCGTCAGCCAAACGTTCATGATCAGAGGCATGGCGCATCGTCAGTAACTCTGGTCCACTTTCGCAACACAAGTACACTACAATGGGTCACGGTGGAGACACTTACGCAACTAGGAGCCTAAGCTGATTGTGGGGAGTGCACGCATACGAAATGCCATATCGAGAGACGTTTTCGCTTCAAGATCTGAACTTTGCCAACAACTTGGCGTCTTGTCGTATCTGAAAGGAAGATACTACATCCGCGTACTTGTGAACAGCGTGTGGATGCACGCAGTAGCTATTACGCCAGCAGTCGAAAACCGAGAAGATGTACGACATGTTTATTCTGCTGCTTACACATCTGCACGTCTAGAGATTGAAGGAGCCAGAACGACAGGCGGAGTTGAGAAAACTCGGGCCTTACTTAGCGTATCGCTAGCGTACAGCGCAAAGCTTCGAGTCTCGGGTGTTCACACCTTACGGCAACAAAAACATGCGAAGAGTGCTACGCACGTAGCAACTTGTCTTTGATCGCCTTATGCAGCGACAAACGTTCTGCCAGGAACACCCGATGCTTAGATGTGATCTGCGAGTCGCAGAGAAATTGTGCCGTTACGATATCAAGTTTTCCAGTCGCTCGATTGGAAGCTATCATCGTTTGCATGCCGGTAAGATTCACCAGGATGCAGCTTGACGTTGCAGTTGGAAAAGTCCGTGACAAAGTCCACACGCGTCATACGTGGCGTGTATGTTATGGGCCGAGTCAGTTTATCGGCACGGCAATTGCAGTGCCAAAGGGTAGCCGTACTGACTGCTACGATGGAAACGGTTTCCACAGCCCTTGAAAGGAACGCCCAGCCTCGTGATCACGGTGACGCTGCGTACGGAGAACGGTCCAATACATTTATTTAATACGCTTTTGTTTGAGTGGACATGCATCTAGAGTACTTGGGGGTTTTCGGTTCGGAATGTGGCTGATCAAGGCGGTCTGTTGCATCTACCTCTCGAGCACCCAGCTCGATTTGCACGCTTCCTCGCACGAGATTCGCTTGTTCGGGTCAGGATGGAGTAACGACGCCAGCAGGTATGCAGCCAATGGTGATAATGAAGACGGGAAGAACCACGTCGGAAATGCCACGGAACGACGTGGCTGGACGCCACTGCCCGCGCCACTTGATCCTGACTTACGCAGACTTGCATCAGACGAGAACGAACTGCTACCGCTCGTCGATGGCGGAGACGCTCCGACAGCTTGGTTCTGGTTCCACAACATGCTAGAGCTGTTCAGCATAAGTCCCAGCATCGGCGCTGTCGGGTGGTAGCTCGAATGCGTGGGAGACATCTCTGGCTGCTGGTGCTGACGCTGCTGCTTCAAGCTGCTAGGGCCTCCAGCATGAAACAAATTGACGTCGAACAATAGTCTGCTCGTATGCGGGTCAACAGGTAGCGATCGCAGCCACTCGCCAAACTTGAGATATCGTGGGCACGAAGCCAGATCTGGCCCAAAAGGTAAGGTGCCGACCAGCAGACCGTACAAGATGACGCCACTGCTCCACATGTCTGCTTTACGTCCATCGTATCCATAGCGGGCGTTCTGCAAAACCTCAGGCGCCACGTAGTGAGGAGACCCCACAATCGAGTTCAGTCGTCGAAAGCGCGATGGTGACATACGGCTCGTGATTTCATTCTCGTCATTGTTGTTGTGATCGTCTGCACTCGTTCCGCTACTGACAGCAGCAATAAAATGGGCCGATAAGCCAAAGTCTGCGATCTTGAGCACATCCGAGTCGCTCAGTAACAAATTCTCGGGCTTGAGGTCTCGATGGACAATGCCAAGTTGGTGGCAATATCGCACTCCTGCCAGAAGTTGCTTGAAATACGTCCTCGCAACTTCCTGTTCCACACCCGCATCCCCTCGAATACGATCAAACAGTTCTCCACCATAGGCCAATTCCAGCACGAGAAAAATAGTCGACTTGGACGGTTGCACGAATTCCAGCACATTGTACAACTGCAGCACGTTCTCATGTCCACCGCCAATCCGCTCACCAGTCACGCTGTTGCCCGTCAGTTTGTGCATGTGTGCAATCTCTCGGTAAATGGTCTTCCGAGCTTGCAGAAAGGCTCGATACTTGGCCGGAAGCGACGGAATGACGTAGACCACGTCGTTCACCACCACCACCTCGTCGTCATCGTCGTCAACGTCGCACCGACGTCCTCCCCCTCCCCCATCATGTTTCGTCTCTTCCTCCTCAATTCCTCGTTCTCCTCTTGCCCTCTCTCGTCGTCCTCCTCGTCCTCCTCGTCCTCCCCCTTCTTGAGCTTCTTGCTCTTCTTCTTCTTCTTCTTCAACTTGTTGCAATTGACTCGAAGCCGTCGACGAAACTGCTGCAGCCGCAGCTGTTGTGCGAGAAAACTCCTGCACTGGCTCTTCGCACGACAGCACACTCGCCGTCCGTCTTCGGTCCGTCCGGCCCGTCTGTCGTCGCCGCCGCGGCTCACTCAGCTCGTCGTCGTGGTGGTCCAAGAGCCAGAGACTCACGCACATTTCCAGCGTCAGCTCCCGCAGACCATACGACATTGTCGTCGCTGCTGTCCCTGTCGCCGCCGCCACTGTCGTCGTTGCTGCTGTACCCGTTGCAGTACTCGCCGCAGCGTTCATTCCAATCGCGTAGCACGCGAGCAGCTCTCGTCGGCGCGGCAGGCGCACCCAATAGACATTGTCCAGCGTCATGTTGCGCACGTTGCCCAGGATCGGGACGCCCTTCTTCACGACCTCTGCGCGTCGCAGCGTCGCGGGACTCGTGAGTTTGTAGCCCACGGGGTTGAGGATCTTGACGGCCACGGGGCGCTTCAGGCGCTGGTCGAGCGCCTCGTAGACGACGCCGGCGATGCCCCCGCCGAGGTAATTGCCCATGGCGAACGCGCTCACGCCCGGACACGACGACAGCGTGATGTGCTGCCCGTCGAACGTGGCCACGCGCTCGGGCGAGACGTCTGCCTCGCTCAGGGGCATGTACTTGGTCTTGAGCAGCGCCATCTGAGCACGTGAGCACGTGAGCACGTGAGCGGTTTTGCTCTTCTTCGTCGTGGCAAAAGTAGTAGTAGTAGTAGTAGTAGTAGTAGTAGTAGTAGTAGTAGTAGTAGTAGTAGTAGTAGTAGTAGTAGTAGTAGTAGTAGTTGTTGTTGTTGTTGTTGTTGTTGTTGTAGTCTTCGTCGTCGTCGTAGTAGTAGTACTACGGCTCGCAGTACTATTTCAAACAGGCGGCTGATGCGTGTGGTTTGTTCCTACAGTGCGGTCGGTCGGTGGACACACAGACAGACACACGCACGCACTTGGGCGCAGAGTGTGTGGCGGAATGAAACGAAAAACACACGTGATCACCCACCCGCTCTGCACCGAGTCGAGGGCTGTCGGTGGGGTCTTTTCTCGATCCGTTGCCAGTGCGCGCGTGGGATAAATCGAATGAACGGGTTCTGGGTCGTTCGGCGGCGACGGAGGGGTCGCGCGTCCACTGGACAGTTGTATGGTGCGCACAAGTACGCGGCGCACTTAAGGAGCGACCAGCTGGCGTTTGGGTGACTCGCGAGCGGTCTGGACGTTCCGAGAGAATGGTTCAGCGATTGCAAACGGGGCGTCGGTGTCGTTTTTGTGCGCCACACTGACTCCCAAACGCTTTCGTTGGGGATGCGCAGTCACCGCACTGCAAAAGTGACCGACGGCCACTGCGAGTTTTCCAGTAAGTTCGAAATCGAATCGCAAGCTACGGACGCGTTCGTCGCCGTACCGCGCGGTTTTTCTCTCGCGAGAAACGCATTGTGTCTGTTTTGTATTTTGATGATGCACTGAACGACGACGACGACAATGACGCGCGCGGCTATCGCGTGTCGCTGCCGGAGTGGCGGGGCGGACGAGTTGCCGTAACGCGCATCTTGGGCCGAGTCCGTCTTCGGCTAAGGTCATTTGATGATAGGCTCTCGAGCGTGCATTGGGCCGTACTGTAACAGAGTGCCAGTGCCCATTCTTCAACCGCAGTAACGAAGGCAGATCTCTCCACTGGATCATGTCGCAGCGAAGCGCTCGAACGATTAGGCAACCATACGGTCGATCATAGACCATACCTACGATCGCGGGGATGACTTAAGAAGCAGCAAGAGGCACAGCTTGACGTTACCCGGCGGAGTAGACACTGTAAAAGCTGATCGTGAGAAGACGAGTCGGACGTCCTGCCGGAGACAGGGAAAGCTGTGAACGGTTGAAGAACGCTGTGGAATCATTTCGGTAATGTAACCGGTTGAGCCCGTTACCTCATTCTGCCTCGAAATTGTACATCAGTCGAGGGCCTATTTTAGTAGAGCCGATCTAACTTTAGACGTACACGATGTATGGAGTGCATATCAATGTTTCCGACGTGTTGGTCCCAATCTCGAGGCCTCAATACGTCAATCAATCCCTTCTGCTCTCCTCATTATCGACCACAGTAACCTACTTCACCGGATAGGAACTCTCTGCATGTTCGCATCATGGAGGGTGTCGACCAGTGATTGCAAACCTTCACGCATCAAACGCCCAGTCGTTCCGACATCTTTGCGATTATGTGCAGCAAATTACAGGCAGAATTGAGGCTGCACGTCCGTACGTCGCAACAGCCTCCGAGACGGCCGTTCTAGTCACTGTCCGATGTATCTGATCAGGTTGAGGGGCAAAGGACCTTCGATCGTAACGAACAGGTACATGAAATGGACTGCTGACAGACAAGAGGGGGAATATCTCGACGTGGGTTATAGAGCACTTCGAGCTTCTAAACGGGATTTAGATGATGGACACGGTCTGCAAGTGGTGGCGAGAATGCATTGCGATTGAAGAGGGCCACATACAGACGCTGATGTAGAGAGGTGGTCAACGTCTGTCCTAGACGAACTCGACTAGTCTACTACTTGACGCCGTCATCCACGCGGACAAGGAAAGGAAGGCCACGAGGTATGCATAGCCGTGCACACAGCACAGCTACTCTTCGCAGATTGAGCCAAATTGCAGCAGCAAACGTATATGACAAGTCAAGAGCAGTGGTTGTCTAGCAGCACGACGTGTAGGACAGTTCTTTCGAAAAGGTCGGGCAGCCACGTGGCGTCGATGCGAACGACTAAAATGATACATTTGATTTAGCCAAAGCTCTCGATGGCTTTCGACGTTTACGACAACAACGATGAGCTTACATATGCTTTCACAAACATCAGATTGTAGTCGAACAAGCGGGTAGCATATCATGACGTCTAGATATCCCCCAGCATCTCAGTAACACATCAACCGTGAGCTTGTGCAGATCGCCGATTCCGATATTCGAAGTCTTTTCCGTAATCAATTCACCTTTTCTAATTTGATGACATGCAACATGGTCTATTATTCTTGCTGTAAGTCTAGAACAATGAGATGGCATCCACATGTAGATCATTGCGCTCTCGATTATGTTTTTCTCCACATCCACACATGTGGTATGCCATTTAGTGCAAATGATCGCCATCAAGCTTTGATAATCTATTTCTGACGCTTGCTTTCATCAAAAGGCGCCTAGGTCCCTCGTAATTTGTGTGGCCCTCACATATCGTCAAATCTGAAAGGAGAAATTGTATTTGTGGAGACCGCATATTCGGTCAAAGTAATAATCGACATAAGTGTCCGCGCAGCATAACACTGAAATACAGAGGTGCTGCAAACCTATGACGATCGATCTGATATGCTCTCTACTTTCTAGACGCCAAGAGATAGCAAATGTCATCTCTCGCGAGACATACCACGTGTGAATGTGTGATACAGCTTCAGCTTACCTGAATCTACAAAATGAAGATGCGAGGCATGTACATGTGATCTTGGCCGACTCGAAACAAGCTTTACAATCAGGCGCAAACGATATGCTTGCCATTGATATGAAGAGCGATGGTTGATCAAATCGATTGTAGAGTGGATTCAAGAACCGTCATTCTTTCAGCATATGTGACGTTTACCACTCAAAAATTTGCGAGCCCTTAGCAAGATATAAACGACGGCAGAGGTAGCTTGTAAAAAAATTGAGCCGTCGTACATCATGATTACCTTACCTTATAATCAATATATACTTATCGAAAAGTCTTACATCCATCAACTGTGTCTGGTAAGATCATATTGACAAAACTAAATTTTGGAGGAGTATCATACCACTATAATTCCGACATAATTTAAAATCCGACAAAGCTTCTGACAAAATGGAGAGACCTTCTATAGAGGAAGGATTCACTATAAAGTCAGCCTGGTTAAATCATTTGGCTTAAACAAGCTACCCACTGTATTATGCTTACAACATAAAACGCTGATAAACTACTCACTGTATTATGTTTTGGCCTGAATTGGCACTCAGTGCAGGTCGTGCGCCAAGATCAAGTAATGACACAATTTTTGCTAGATGCTGCTACAGCAGAGACCTTATACTGATCAAATACTAGGCTCTTTCTGTAGTAGCGTTTGGTGTCTGGGACAACGAGGTGTGACGAAAGGAAAGGCTCAACGTTTAGTGCTTTCATTCTTACATACGAGCCTCATTATCAGGCATAAACGTGAAATCATTTCGTTCTATGGGCCAGCCAAATCACTGTGCTTGCCACTTTTTATGAAGATGTATACACTAAACCACACATAGAGTAAGCGTGCCCGTGTCGGTTGGTAAATTATATAAAAGTCGAAACATTGGCAGGTGCGGTCTGATGTTACTTTTGCAATCATGTATCTGTCTCTCTCCGGTGGGCTGACGTAACTGTATCTGTTGCGTTGCTCTATTTTCTGTGCAGTATGAAGGTATAGTTGCTGTTTTGCTTTTTTATATCTTGTGTGGTATGACGTTATTGTTTTTGATTTGTTTATCTGATACGGTCTAGCGCTAATGTTGCTTCTTGTGTTCTTTGCTTCCTGGTGCAGTCTGGCGTTATTACTTTAGTTTCTTTACATCTATTGCAATCTATAAATAGACATGAAGAGATAGTAGAACGCTTTTTGTGACGAAGATGGTAAAATATACGAATTGCTGCTGTACATCTTTACTTCCAGACGTATCTCAATATATGCTGTATGCTAATGTTTCTATTTTAGGCATAGCACAACCATTAGCAAATGCTCGTACTTGGTAAATAACTGATTTTAATGAAAGGTACTTATGTGCTCTTACATTATGTGCAATATGACTTGCGATTTTAAGTAAAGATATAAGTCCACAATATCTTCAACTGCGTACAATGCCTTGTACGCCACAATTCTCGTGTTTGAAGCTCTTTTATTTAGTTTTTGCACGTAATACCGTTGCACTCAGGGGTTTTTGGGTAGACCTTGCTTGCGTACAAGCGATATTCAAGACTCCCGGTCGAAGACATGACACATTAGGCCTACAGTTGCAGCGTCCTGATATCCCGTTGGACTCGTGGAAGTTTTGTAAAGCGCTCAATTTTTTAATCGAAAATAATTTATCGTACACGATGTAGCTTTTTTACCATATCCCCTTCACTCTTGTCATGCATTGCCTCTCCAGAGTTTGCTCCCCCTCGAGTAACCTGTAGTTTACGATTGATCTTTGTGACGCGAACTCCCACTCAGTCACTGCTTTACTTTCTGTGATATGAACAACAGAGTTAATTGCTACCAAATTCTATTTTTGCCCTTGAGGTATACAAAATTCATGACAAACTTCTTTTATACAGGAAAGGTATACGCAACAGAAGGGCATTGTGTATAGAATTCTTAAGCTGTTTGACTGTAACGCACTCCGAAGTGAGAAATATAATATATAGTTGAATTCTGTAGACATGGCTAATTTAGTGTTGGCTGGCAAAAAAGGATATCAGCTCATGTTTCATCGATTGACTGCTGTGGTCATAGCCGAAGCAGTGTTCTCAAGCGCAAACGACCGAATGCTTTAATACCTCCTGAGCTGATAAAGTGCACGAGCGTTTATGCCCGTATGTATAAGGTAATTTGCATATCTGGATTATCGTATGTACACTCCTCAGATTAACTGCACG